AGAAAGAAAGGGATAGGAAAGGGGAGACAATAGAGAGATGGCTTGACCGTCTTCATTGTCTCTCGACCTTCCCCCATTAACGGGTCATGATTGGGTCCGAAAATATAGCCCTCTTCTACTCACTTTCATGATGCACTTTCTCCAGCAAACGTGCGATCAAGTGTCATCTCGGCTTTCTCAATTAGCTCGTGTCGACAGTTTACTTTCCTTCGACGGTAGCTAGTTCCTCCTGTACTTCCCGTGGAAGTTGACGTGTTCCACTCGAATTTTCTTCCTGCGAACAAAAGGGAGTGGTTTCTCCGAATTCGTGATGAGGGAGCCATTGACGCTTACTCTAGTGTGAAGGTCTGTCACAATACCGATGCCGTAGCACCTGCTGTAGCAAACTGCGCACTTTTCTCACGATTTCTCTTGCGATTTTGAAGTTTTTTGTTTCAAGCCTTTCCCTTTCAGAGGCAGAGACAATCTGAAAGTGTTCAGGTAAATCTGCCTCTTAAAATGTCTATGTAGATTACGCATATTTTAGAACGCAGGAGATCCAAAACCAGTTATCGCGCTCCATGATAAATATGCAACACATCTCTAAACATTTCACCAACCTGTGAGGAATAAATTTAGACTAAAAACCATCCCCTTCATCCACACTAAAATGTATGAAAATAGGAAGATATGGATCTACTTACTAGGCCGATACGTAATTGCTTCCGAGGAGAAATGCCTTTTGTTTTTCTTTCGCTTTTTGGTGCTTTTATTTAAAAAAAAATGGAATGCTTGTATTGGAACTAAGACTACGGCTTCGTATGTTTTAAGTCGTAAGTAGTTCCATTCTGAAGTGCACTTGCAACTTTATTTTAAAGGTCTCTTATATTCTTAAGCGGCCACCACGTCGGCTGGTAATTTATTCCACTTTCAAGTTTTCCTATTAAGGAAGAATGTCGATCTTAATTTCTTACTTGTCCTATGTTTTTGTAATTTTATACAACGCCCCCTTTCTTCGAAAATAGACCTTTGAAGAACGAAACATTTTTCCCTGCCTATTCTCCCAGATCATTGAAATTAAAAAAATTGTAATGTCCGGTTGCTGGTAAAGTTTGTCGTAAGGTTCTGGTAATTAAAGTATTGCCTTAACGCGCATGCATCCCGAGAATCAGCACCCCTTGCATTTCCTTGCAGGAGGATGGTGAAGTATGAGGAGCCGGACTATAGTTTCCGGCTGGACCTGAACAGCACGACGGATTCCTTGTCCTCGGGGTCTTCAACCACTACAACCAACACGGTGATCACCCACAAGAGCAAGGAACGGATCGATCAGATCTTCGCCGAGAAGCGGCGTACCCTTCGCGGCGGACCCGGACCAGACGCCGGGATCCGACCTACCGCGTTCGAGAACCGGGAAGAGCAGGAGCGTTTCAAGCGGCATCTGCAGATCCAAATTCAGCGGATCGTGAACGAGCGACGTAACCACTTGGAGAAGGAGCTGCATCGGGGCCCCGCCAAGACCAACTACGAGGAACAGATCGATCAGCTATTCTCCGGTGCTCTTGGTGATGATTTCAACAACATCACCACCGACTCCAGCATTTCCAGCCAGGAACAGCACATTCCCGAGACCATCGTCACAATCAATGGAAATTCTGACAAGATCAGCAATGCATCCACCGGTTCTTCCAAGGGCAGCTCGGTCGAGACCACTTTCTATCACGCCAGATATAAGGTCGACTACCTGGGATCTTTACCTCTGTTCCAGAAGGCGACTCATTTAGAAGTCCTTCAGCTGCCCTTGAAGGACCTGTATTTCCAGCACCTGAATCTCATTCGCAGAGGTCAGAGTGCGTTGAAGGGCACTCTTGAAATAACTGGAACGGGGCTGAAGGTGCAATACTGTCGAGGAGAGGACAAAACTGCGATCCAAGAAATTTTCAATCCCTTTCCGACTATCGCTGTCTGGGCTGCAGTGAAATTCGTCGCCCGGAACGTGAGCGGCTCGACGAAATTCGCGTTCCTTCCTCTCATATGCGATCCGGAGTCCTCGGATAAGTTCAAGCTGTTTCACACGCTGAGAAACGGAGAACCGCAGGACGTGACCCGAATGACTCACCCACCTCTGTTTGCCTGCGTCATGAGGAAAGTCGGGCTGGCGAGGACCCTGGAGTGCCATGGATTCGTGTGCCACAGTAGCGAAGACGCCATCGTGATTGCAGCCAACTTATACCAGGCCTTACTGGAGAACATGAAGCAAGACGGCAGCGAACGAGGAAGTCTCCACTCCCAGCAGATCCTCCGGGTGGATCCGGACGAGCTGGACCTGCGCAGCAAGGCCTTCTCTGACACCGAATTCGTGCCGGTCAGGCCTCCAAGGCGCAAGAAGGGTCACCCAGGGGGCGGAAGCAGACGGCAGATGAACGGGATGGTGAAACGCAGCCTGAGCGCCGAGGCGATCGGCCCCACTGAACGGGAAATGCTGAGCCGGCAGAGCAGCCGAAGAAGCACCCGGTCTCGGATCGACAGGGTCCGTCGAGTCAATTCCGACAGGCACCCGACCGGATTCCTTTCCGACGTCGGGGACATCTACACCAAGGTAGCCCTGCCCCGGAGCAAGAGCTTCATGAACGTGAATCACAAGTACGATTTGAAGGAGCTGTTCCACGAGATGAAGACGAGGCAGATCAACAGCATCGACGACCTTCTCATGGAGATCGTGAACCCCCAGGGCATGTCCTTCACGGACATGAAGCCTGTCTACAAGGATCTGTTGATGAAACTCGCCTTCTCCTTGTCCCGCGACGAGATCTATCAACGCAGCAAGAACATCATGCGGAGGCACACGAGGCGAAAGTTCGGGGCCGGCCTGATGGCATTCAGAAACCCGGCTGCGGAATCGGACACGGACAGCACCATCTCCAGCGTCATTCGGGCGACCAAGAAATCCCTTTCAAAATTCACGAGCATGAGACACAACAATTCCAAGGCGCTGCCGCCAGTTGAGAAATCGAAACCGAAGCGTCTCTCGTCGGACAAGGAATTCAACGGTCACGTCCGGAATGGTCATTCCCGGACTCCCCCTCGGAAGAAGACACCCGCACCCCAGCCGCCAAAATTTGCCAGGACCCCGATGCCATCGAGGGCCGTCCGGTCGGCCATCGAATGCGACTCGAGCAGTGACTGTGGCTGCGACAGCGAATCCTGTAACTCGGACACCAAGTGCTATTGTTCCCTGAAGCAGAAAGCCCGCAGCCACCCGTCTCTGGTCCCAAAGGCGAAAAAGGCTCCGGAGGACTGCGAAAGTGAAAGCTGCGCGGAAAGTGAGAAATGCTACTGCTCCCTCCGCCGAACGGGTGCCGGGGGCGAGAAGGTGTACGAAGTGAACCTGGACAGTGGGACCGAGACGGACACCACAACGAAGGGGTCCTTGGTCGACGGCAAGCGAAAATACGGTTCCGTGGGAAATCTGGACTTCTCGGTCATGGACTCCCCGAAAACGGCCTGGAGGAAGAACAACTCCAACTTCACGCCGCGAAACGCAGACGTGACTCGCCGGAAGTCTTCCAGCTCCAACTTGGGAAGCGCTTGCGATTCCTGCTCCCAAAACCGCAGTGCGGGCTCCATCCTCGACAGGGAACCCGAGAGGATCCGCAAACGTAGCACGAGCACGTATCTGAGCAAGAATTTGGAGAAGGCTCGCCCATGCCATCACCGCAGCAAGTCTTCGCTGAGCTCCGGCCGCGGGACTCGGAGCACCCCAAGCAGTGCCAGCAACGGGAATCTGTCGCCGCCTGTCTCGTATCGTCGTAGCCCGTCGGATTCCTCCGGGTCTCACAAAAGCGGTCGATCGGGGGATTCGTCCCGACGGAAGATGCTGCTCGTGTCCGCCGTGGACCCTTCGGGGAAGGTCGTGTACCGCGGTGCGTCCCAGAGAGAGAAGAAATCCGACAACATCATGTCCATGAAGAAGACGGCCGAGATCGCCGCCCTTTTCTCCAATCTCAAGCTCAATCAGACGACGGACATCGTCGACAACGATTCCTTATCGGATTCGGAGACCTCCTGTTGCTCGGGGCAGGGAGGTCCCACCAAGAGCTTCGACTTCATGTATTCCGACACGAACCTGGAAAATTCTCTCGGCTATCTTCCCTGAAAAAGTGAAATTCTCTATACCGTAAACAGTATTTGTTGCCGTTAACAGTACGTCCGAAGTTTCTGTAATCCATCGCGTGTTGTTCATTCGCGTTCATGTCTATTTTGTTTTTTGTCTCGTTGCATCGATATTCTGTGATAGGTTAAATCCCATGGTTCGTCCAACCTGGGGAAGTTTGTGTCTTGACATGTTTCTTTGGATTATCCGCGCTAAATTCTTTGAATCCTGTTTCATGTTGCAGATTGGAAAGTGCATAATTATGTTTTATGTTCAGAAAAATATTTATCAAAATTTTTTTTTTTTTTCGTTATGATTTCATTGTTATAGTTTTCCCTCTCTCATCAAATGCACGTTACGGTTCATTGTTTCCGATACCTGTGATTTCCCTCCCAGCTTTTTTCAGAAAAATATTGAACTTGAATAAAAGTATAATATCGCCATTCCGCTCGTCTTCTCTTTCGACTTGATTCGAATGGACAACCTCCACCAAAAAATCCTCTCACATGCAGGGAAATTTCGCTAGAGTCTACAACCTGAGACACGAGGGTCTACCGGTTTGGAAGGTGAAACGTCATAAGGCTCAGAGTTATGAGGAGCACCATAGAAAAACATTCGTCTGGTTTTCGGTTAAATATGAAACCTCTGGTTAAAAATGAATAAACATTAATGCTTCCTAATACAACTATTTTTTCCAGTTTTTTTTTTAAATATTATTATTCATCATTTGATTTTTAAAGAAAGAGACAGTTGAATTTAGAACTAGTGGAGTACACGACCACAAAAAGTGGCATAAGGCTAGAAATAGAAAGTCACCTGTTCCTTTTTGGAACTCGTGACTTTCTTTTCTTAAATTTTGCTGCCACCACTACCTCCCTGAAGATGGAATCTCGATTGTCTCTTGCCTATTGTCAAATGTTTCGACTAGTGTCACATCCGCCTCGTCGTCCTTGTGCTTAAGGACAAAAGCGGGCTCGTACTCATACAGTCTATCGTAGTACAATTCACACTGAAATGATGATCCTCCAGATCGAACCGTTATGGCACAGGACATCGACGTGCCAAAAATTGGAATGCTCGAACTTGACGATGACACGATGCAGGCTCATATACACCCACCGAATAAATATCCAAGTGAACTACAGCTTTTTGCAGTGTTTTAGTGACTGGCTACCATCCAAAAATCAAGTTTTCATTTTAGCACACGAAAGAGCGAAGTTGGTAAAGAAGAAAGGGTGGAGCTCCACTCCCAGGACTTTCACCATAATTTTTGGCAAAATCCTTCAGTTCTTCCTGCCACTCGACGTCCGAGTTCCCCCGTGACGCGGGGTGACGATGGAAAAACTTTCTCTACTCGACTTCGAAGCCACAGCGTGTCGAAAGAGTGTATTCCTCATTTCCCTACGGCTGCTGAATACAGAACTTCTGCGTTCTTACGTAATCTTGCATATTTACTCGGTTTGAGCCGGGAGACCTATTCGGAGTTGGGCTTAGGAGGATTTTCTGGAGTCTGATTCTATTCCTTGCCGTTCGAACCAGGAAGGAGGAAATTCCAAATAGAAACGCCGAGATATGAGTGCGGGTGTACTTCAATTGGAGCACCAAGCCCCTTTCGCCGCGATTGCCACCCATCACGAGAGAAACGTGAAGCGTGTTGCATGGAGAGTGTGCGAACCTTATCTTGTCCTTTCTCTGTCCACTCTCCCCACGCAAGATTCCCATTTAAAACCGTCACGTTGTCGTCCTATGTAGCCAGCGACATAAATAAGAGAGACTCCACCTTGTCTCGTCCTGCAACACGCTGGAAAGTGAAACGTCACAAGAAGTGCCAAGCAAGAATTTTTCAGGATCAATTTCCATAACACCTACCTGTTTACCTTCACTATAATCCTTCGTACACCATGGTACGTAGCCAAACTCGACATTGAAGTAGCAAAAGTACTCATCTAACGGCCTGTGAGCTCGTACTAATTTCACCGTTTCATCGGCCTTGTATTGTTTTTCTGAGAAAAATCTCACAATTTCGCTGTCACTGAATCTTCTATCCCTACTATGGAACACCTAACTCCACAAAGCAAGATTGAAAAGTATAATTTTCGAATATGAATTTGCACACGATTCACATTGCGATTCGATAGCAGGCTAAACTAGACTCAACAAAAAAAATACCGGAAGAATCCGTAGATCTTAGAATGTCTGTGTGACTTTCGGTGCCTTGGGGAAGTGAGACGAATTCCGACCCTGATATATTGGGTTGGAAAGAAAGTCTTGCAACACTCTGTGCAAATGTTTCAAAATTTTATAGCTTTATTTAAATGCAATTTCAGTCTACAATGTAATGACCATTGTTGTCTATGGCATGTTCCCAACGCACGGGTAACTGCTCGATGCCCTTTGCCCAGAACTCTGACGATTGCGAAGCGAAGAAACGGCCGACATCATTATATTTATTGGGTCAAAAGTCCGAAAATGTACGCTGCGAAGGTGGTTTCCACGGGTTTTTCTGTCTTTCTGAGCGTCGGAGGCCTGCACGGGTTGACTATTCCGAGATGCAACTCGATCGGCCGGATGCGAATCGTGGCCCGCACCCGATCCGGAACGCAGTCGAAGACCGAGCTTTCCGGATCGTGTTGTGCTGCCATGGCCGGCCCGCTTAGACCTCTTGAGAACTCCAGGATTCTGATGAAGTATTTGCCCCAGAGGAGACGAAGGGACCCTCGCAGATCTGCGCATAAACGCTTTTTCGGGTGGAATGGTTCAGAATGAAGGGCATTCTGTGCAAGCAGACTGGATGGCGAAGCGTGCCTTTGGCATGGGAAACAAATACAGTATATTGGGAAGTCTGAATATCTTGAAAATTTCCCTATACGCCGGAAAAATCGCTTTCTTAGCGATGGGTTGTGTGAAATCGATGTCTGACCATCCCTCATCATTAGGCACATATACAATAGTCCTCCAAGACGGATGAACGGATTTTCATGATTGAGATGTCAATCGAAAGCTTATGACCGGAGACATTACTTCCAGGATCAAAGTCCAAAATATCGCCCCATTTTCATGTAATAAGGCCAAATGTCGGTCAATAAAAATAGCATTATACCGAAAGGTTCCCGGGCGAAGTGCTCACACATCATGACCCGCATTCGACCTGAAATTTGAATATCGAACAGACCGGTCCAAAGCCTGTTTTGTCCTCTGAGATTCAGAACTCGAGGTCTCAAATTACGCATTCTCTCGCACCCGATCAGAAATTAGATTGTCAACCCACATTCACGCCCCATGCACGAGTCAAATCAGTTCTAACAGTTCGATCCGCTTCCCGGTCAAGCTCAAAATCGTCACCTATTCTACTGGGGCGTTCTTAAATTAATAATAGAACGACAGGTCTCATTTTCAGGCTTAGAAGCGGGACTCCTTGAACATTTGTATTCAAGTGGTTGGGGTTTCCCCAAAGACGTAGCGCATCCCCCTATAATTGATTGAAACCATGTCTGTTTTAATTCGAAGGTTGTATCGTTTTAGAATGCAATGCAATGGAACTCATTGGGTTCCATTGCATAGCATTCCATTGCATTGTTCCCAACAGGGAAATGGGGAGTCTCTGATAACAGGAACCACCCTCCCGCCCTCCATCTGATGGCTGAGTGTTCCAAATTCGTTTCGATGCGTCTCAGTTCAAAAATATGAGTGTCATTTGAAACCCGGTGGCCATAACTATTGGATCAAGAGTTCTAAAAGTCCTACCATTTTGACGTCATAGGGCCTAATTTCGGTGATAGCAATTTACTGAAAACCTTCCTGGGCAAAGTGCTCACAAGCAACAATGAGAGTACGAGGCATTGTGTCGGCAACGGAAATTGTTGCTATGGTAACTATTGGCAATGATCATATGTCATACGTTGTTGCATTACCAGTCCCGTCTCCGGTAAAACATTGCTTCAGGTAAGTTCGCAGCCTTGAGTGGGTGCTAAAATAATATTTTATAATTAAAAATTTTGCGTTCTCAAAATGCCCGAAAAATTGGGGAAGTTTAAACTATTAAACAGCAGGATCAACTGAACGTGCGATGAAGAGAGAACTTCTGGAGTCACAGTCAGTGGACGAAAGTGCATGACCACCTTCACAAAGCGCTGCTTCACGGGCTGCTACCAAGAAAAGTGAAGGTGACAAAGCAAGAGCAGAAAGTCATCTACGAAATGTTCTGATTCGAATTTTTTCAGCCCGTGAGCGCGCGGGCTTTAACGATAGTAGTCCAATACGACCATAGGGGGGCGACCGCTCCGCTATGTCCGTGTTTGCTTAATAATTTCATTGTTTTTCGAAGTTACGCTGAGGAGGTAGGAAATGAGTGGAATTATATTGGTTTGGTTTTTTAGGTTTGTTGTGCTTAAAACTCACACAAAAGACCTGATGATATGATAACTGAAAGAAGTGCTCTCAAAATCGTCCCTTTATCCTTTTGCAAAGTGAGAGGCTTTTGACCTTGACCACGACAACGAGTGAATTACAGAAATATGAATAGAAAGTTTGATTTTCTTTCCAAAGAATCTAGTTGAAAATTAAAGTTCCCTTGTTGTCAGTCCCTCTTTTATGCCATATAATAATATGAAAGATTTAGGGCAACTGGAATTGTCCTTTATGTAGTCAGTGTATGACTCGATTGTTGGAATTATGATGACATTTGAGGGAAGGATCTTGATTTAAGATGCAAAGAAAACTCATGAACTTCGAACTCCGTCAGAGGTGAGTGCCTGGTTTTTCATCCTGATAAAAAAAAAGTTATTACAGCTTCTGGAAATCTACCCCATACCTTCATCCCAGAGGTATCCCCAATCGGAAAAAGGGTAGGAGGATAGGGATTCATCGCCATTGATGGTTTCCCATGTCGCAGAGGAAAGAAAAAAGACACCCCCAGTAGTCTCATCCAGAAAATTTCCTCTCTTAACCATTTCCCCTCCGATTCTCTTCGCTGCATCATTCCAAGTTGGTACCTGGAGTCCGAAAAAGAGACACATTCGTAAAAGAGCTCCCTTTATGTGACATGCTTCTCTGAGAGAAGAATAATTATGAGGGCGGATCAAAAAGTAACGGCCTATTCTTTTTTCTCACGTTTCTTCCTATATCGACAAAATGCTTTTGAGGGTAGGTGTTACTGTTTGTCATGGATGCTAACTTGCATTAGTTTCACCATTTGCCACGAAAGGATACTAGCATGAGGGATTAGAAAATGGCGGTACCGCTACAGAAATCCACAAAAATGGAATGCAGAAATGTGATTCGTACTCTATGGTTCGAGAGTTTCTATTTACAGAAGAATGAAGGAGCCTCCTGGTCGTTATCGGGACAATCGATATACATCGGTTGTCCAAGATTGCAGCCTCCATAACAGTCATGTCGTCAGAGGGCGTGGAAATGCTGTGTCTGCCCTTCTCTCATTGTCTTTCACACTTGTTCTAACGTAACGGAATGTTTGTACCCCCTAGCGCACTTTCCATTCGTCCATCCACATGCCCCTTTACCGGGCCTTCACTCCTCTGTGAATTTCGGCAGCATTGAAACCCTCTACCCCAGAAAACGATGATGATGGCAAACGATAAAATTAATGCGTGCTAACACCAGTGAACACCAGTGAATAGAGCACCTATTCTCGAAAGCCTTTTGTCGACGATAAAAAGAACTGAAAAAATTAACGAACCTTAATATTTGATCCGCTCTCGTATTTGCGTCAAGAAATTGTTCATTTAGAAGTAGTGAAGAAACGATTAGATGATATTCGATCGAAGTGAAAAATGTGGTCGGAGAGTGACGAGCTTACCCTAAGGAAGTGTTCTGCGTCATCTAGACTCAATAAGGTCCTCGGGCCAGCCTCATCGTCCTTGGGATAGAGGATATCTAAGATGACCACACTCTGTTTTTCTGTCATTATTCTCCAGAGATCTTCATGATTCGGAATGTTGTCGATGATTATGAGTCGACTCCTAGAGCGTGATATGACTTCCAGCAACCACTCATCATTGACATTGACAGAAATGACGACTGAAGTCTCACATCCACGAAAGTCCTTCGAGTGTTTCACATGAACATTCGGCAGGAACTCATTGATTTTCTCTTGCAAAGACAATAGCAGGTTTTCATCTGATACTAAGACATAAGGCTGATCTTCGTCGACTAACTCTTGAAGGACACAGAGGCAGAGGGAAGGGAGAATAGTCAAGCTGTTCCCGCATGCGTTCTTTCCATTGCAAATGTATCCATAATGCCGTCTCGAACAGCTGTTGATGAACTGCACTGGTGGACCGAGGACAATGGCCGCGGGAATAGAAGAAATGTACAGGTTCCTAGCTTCCAATTTCAGAGCGATACGAGTTTCATTTCTTTGGATATACCTCAAAAGGCATACGTTAGTTGGTTGAGTTGAAAGTGCAATCACAGTGCAGTCAGGATTTACTTTCAGTGCTTCAACAGCCCGCCTCAAAGATATACGTCTTTGTTCTCCTGAATGAGACTTGAAGGCAATTATGAGGTGCACTTCCATTCTCTTTAATATATTAATGGTCTCTTCAAAATCCTTCACCAATTCGAAGTCTTCGGCAATTATGACAAAGGGACCCACTCCATCCTTCTCATTCTTTTTTTCCATCCATTTCGTGTGGGCCTCTTTCACTTTCATATATACGAATATATTCTGGAGTGATCTTTCTTGACGCGAGTAAGAGTTAAAATCATAGGCATCAATGCCCACAGTTCCCTTATCGCTCCAGCGCTGTCGGTAGGCTTCCTGAGACAGCTTACTTCCGCTATGGAGAAGTAAAACGTGACCTCTACGTTGTATCACTCGATCGATCAACAAATCTACTCTCCTAGATTTTCCTGAGGCTGGACAGCCAAATATTCCACTAAGGCAAGATCCGAGCATCTTCTCCACGTCTTTCTGCTCCTCACCTCGCCTACCACAATCTATATATATTTCAGGGAAGTTTGCGAGGGGGAAATCCTGCTTGTTTGGATCGGGAATTGATTTCTCATTGTTCTCTTCCCATGCCTTCTCCAGCATTTCCATGAGGCTTGCTTCGACGATGTTCGCTTTTTCGATATTCCATCCAGGGATTTCCTTGATGGGAGAGAATCTCCCAGTCGTCAACTCTTCTTCCTCAATCACTATTATCTTGTTTTCGCCAGTTGTGGCTATCAGTCGAATATAGTTTCTCCATTGTGAAAGGGGAAAATCCATGACCATGATAACGTCCGTAATATAGCAGCCCATCATTTCCTCTTCGGTGACGATGATGACAGGGGAAGAGCCCTCTGCTGTCGACCTCCCGTGGAGCTCACTTTTCATGTGGAAGAGGAAAGGAATTGTCGGGTAAAAGGATGCAAGTATATGAACGAAAGTATTCTTCCTTTCTTCATCATCAACAACAATGAAGATTGGCCTATTTTGTAACGAATTTGAACGTTCCTTATGTATAATAAGCCTCGCATGAATAGCATGCAAGGCTCTTACAGCCTGACAGATCATTGTGTGTCTGCATTCTCGGTGAAAAGCCTGACAGGAAGGCATGACAAGCAAGCGGGGAAGCCATTTTTCGCAGGAATCGTTCACTTCTGCGAAATCCATAATGGAGCGCTCAGATGAAACGAAAACCTGCCTGGAGAAATCACCGACTGACACAAACAGTGACGATATATATTTCGTATTCCTCTTCACACTGTTAAGAACCTTCATAACATAACATCCGTCTAGCTTCACATCTTCGATAAGGAAATCCCTCGTGTAAGACTTGTCATTCGGCCTAATGGAAATAGTAATGGATTCCACATGATTTCTCATGTCTTTAACCCATACCCAATGTCTGGAAAGGGATTCTGGGGTGATGATGCCGTGGAGACCAAACGTGATGGGAACTTCATCGATGAGGATGTGCTTCCCTTCCCCTCTCTTCTGCAAGAAACTCTTCCATCTTCCAAAGTCATTATCCAAGCCTTCTTCTCTCCCATCAAATATCTGGATCGCCACGTTACCTATGAAACAAATATGAGTTATTTTTTCCGTATGGCACCAAATATACATTGACACATTCAAAGAAAACAAAAATATGCAGGCTAATTAAAACAGTGATAGGTGCATTTGTTACGACCTTTTACCTTTTAGGCACCCTGTATAATAGGACAAGCTAAAGCATGTTATTGGAAAGAAATGAATTTTCACCTAAAAGCTGTGGCATGCGACCTCTCGGAAACCTCTGCATCACTTTATATGTATTAATTAATTGAAATATTAAATTTTGTTTTCGACAATATAAATGCCTCATCATGGATGAATGAGTGTTCATGACATTGAGGGGGGAAGGAATAAATGATGCATGGTGTCAATAAAAATTAGAAATACAGACTCGCAATATACCTTGCTTGCGATGGGGTTACTTCGGAAAGGATCGGAATTACTCATGCAACATTGATGAACCAGTATTGTCTCATTATTGATGGTATTGCCCTGAAACACATTGATATTGGTTTATTTGAGCATTTGATGATGCAATGAGTGTTCCTATGCATACCTTACCTTGAGAAATTGGGAGAAAATGAATAGGTACAGACCGGGCCAACCAACAAACTAAACTTTTAAAGAAGTTTGCAAAATTTGCTTAAGGGAATGGGTCGTGGCAAAAGTCTCACACATAAACAATCAACAATGACGCCTTGAAGAAGCAGCCTCAGGTGAGAAGGAAATCGACGTCACCTGTGCTGCTTTCTTCTCAATCATTGGGTTATTTGAACGAATTTCTTGCATGACACATTCTATGACCTACAAGGTAGCTCCCGCCCAAAAAAGAAAAAGTACCTATCCGTGGATGTATTAATGAAGTATAGCAGTACCACCTATGATACAAAATTACATATTATACTTTAATTCGAAGAGCCCAGCGCGCGTGGCCTACAATACTACCTCACTGCAGGCCATAGGCTAGGCCATCCACCCCGCGCCAAGTCCTTGAGGCTATGCTATTCTAGGCCATAGACCTGGCCATCCAACGCTTTTAGCGCCAGGTCTATCAAGCTCTATCAGTCTGAGTCATTCAAAGGGTGATAATAATTGAATGCGTGTCACGTTTTCACTGATCGACTGCAAGTGATCCATCTGATTACATTCTTTGATCAAGTGTTTTTCCTGTGTTCATTTTTTTTCCGTTAGGTCAGGCGTGGCGGTTCGGGACATCGCTTCCATGCAATAGTTTTCCATTTGCGTTTCATGGCCAATGTATTTGAGTTCTCATGATGGATGAAGTCAACGTAATAGTCTAAAAAGTTTCTCTTCATATTTCGCACAAACGAGGTGCACCTCCTATCAAAATGGTGGCGATTTTTGCGAGGTGAGGTCGAACGCGAAGAAGAAATGTTGGAGGAGGTCCCCCAGGACGGCGATGAGGTACTTGTTGCTGGTAAAAACCGGTTGGTACTGGCACCGAATAAACGTTTGCCACTGCAGTTGCAGTGCGAAGTGCCTAAATCGGTGCTAGCCTTAATGGCTAGAATCGGTGATCAACAGCAAGCACATGTACGTAGGGAGCTTAGGGCCGCATATGCCGCTGAACAGCAAGAGACAGCGAGTGCTGAGCTCCGGAATAGGAGAGCCGTGCAGCCAGCTAAGCAACTTGATGCAAGGTTTGCATTTTCAGGAATTAGTCTTCAGCATTGTGCCGCACATGCACTAACATCCCTCTTTGCCGTCGAACAAGTTCTTGGAAACGGTCCGTACTGTTTCAGAGTTATTGTTGTCTGTACCATGCGCTAACTCTAATAGCAGATGAGCTAATCGGCGATGCAAGGGTGTTGAATGTGCTAGGAAGAAGAAATCAGCAATGTCGTCTAGAGTCTCATGAAAACGTGCTAAGTCGAGGCGTTCACAATGGTGATTGCGGCAATCAGCTCGAATATCATGCTGGTGTTTAGGAGCAGAATCTCCCTGTGTACTGTAAGTTATATGTGTATAAATGTAATGAAGCGGTTCAGTTCCGAATGGGTAATGCAATGAACAGAGGATTATCAAGAAGACGTTATGCTCACAATAGACTATTCAAATTTCCACATACTTGACGGCCAGCGTAGCGGCTGCAGGCTGCTATTCTTATACTTTCATTCGAAGAGTCCGAGAGTTGTGGTGGTTGTCACCCCAGCGCGCGAGGCCTACAACTTTGTCACTTCAGTCCATAGGCTAGGCCATCAAAAATAGTTGCGTTGTTTTTCCATGTTTTGCTAAATAATGCCAAAAAAAATCAGGGAAACCCTTTTTGTACGATGGATATTTAGTTGCATTCAAATTTTGCGGAACGAAAATTTCTGAAGAATATCATGTGATGCGAATTACCAGGAGGAGGTGCATGAGCATATCCTCATGCATGGCCTCCTCATGTGCTGCATATTTCGACCAGATATCCAGATCGTCTATTCATATATCCAGAGGAAGTACATTGGATGATCTTTTGCAGTCTGAGATCCTACATGAAAGGAAGCTGACACTATCAAAAGGTCAGCGCGATGCTAACACAAAGTGAAAGATGTGTCCATATTACCACAAATCGAAATGGCCATATTCCCCCATATAGGCCTGCACGACAAAATTGACAACACTGTCCAGAAAGGGCTAGCACTTTACGCAACCATTCTGGAGAGACTATAGAACAACTTTGAATAAATGGTTTTTGTATCCATGCTGCCATTAGGAAATATTCGCATAAGTTGCTCAAGGCTCATATCAGTTTCATTATCATGAGTCAAAGAATCGCATGCACATTAATTTCATGACATCGATGTATGCCGAATTCCTGTTAGAACTGGATCAATGAACAGGTCTAAACACTTCGACAATTGCATGTATTCTTTTATATGACTATTTTTACGGCTCTCCCAAATTAATTAGTCTGTAAGGGGATTCATAGTGAAGGGCAATATTACCCAAATGGCCACATTCCCCCAAGTTACACTATAAAGCATTTGTATTGAAGAATCGCTCAAAAGAAAATGTGTTACATATTTTTCGCTTGGTTTTTATAATCGCAAAAACGTCAACTGCTTACTTTTTTTCCACCACTCAATAGAATCAGATTCATGTTTCTTCTTTAAAAATGTTTTACATTTGCCTGGTTATTGGTACGCTTCATAATAACATAATGGTGCTTCTTTCATTGCATTGTGAAGTACAAATTAACGCACACCAGAGTGTTTTATGAGTGTGGAAAATCTATTTTTAGTTTAAGTTCAGCATGAAACACATCGTCTTCGCGTTGGGGCTAGAGCATTTTAAAGAGAGATTTGAAAACGAGAAATGAAAATTTTCGATTGATCAGGTTCTAAATACCTCTTTTACATTAGATGCCGATTTTTATCTTACCTTGGAAGTAAAGTCGGAATTCTTCGGTCAAAAGTCCTCCTGGAAGATTCATTAAAAGTACTTCACCCTTCTCAGCTAACTGAAGGGCTCTTTCTTTCAGCACAACTGTCTTTCCCGTGCCTGGCCCTCCCCAAATGAAAATGATTTTCGATTCCTCTCTCACCAGTTCCCTTTGTTGGGGGGTAAGAATTATCAGCATCTTCTTCATTTGGTCGTCACACTTCGTGAACAACTGCGCAGGATTGCGTGGGAGTTCCACTGTTGATGCAGCACAAACGTAGAGGTCGAATATGTTCTTGAAGGTCTTCATGACAGGGCACGTAGAGTCCTGGTTCCAAGACTTCTCTAACACAATTCCATGTGTATCCAAGAACGACCGAAAACTTGTTGGATCATCCAGATCTTCCGAGGTCAGGATTCGTGTCCTGCAATCTCTGCATCGGACCACTTCCTGCAATTGGAACTTCGAAAGCATGGGAAAAGCGGCAAATCCAGCAAGCTTCACATTTGAGGTGATAAATTCGCTGCACATGGTGCAGAAAATGTTGAAGTCTTGCTTTATCTGTCTTGTTGCTTTTGACAGAGAATCAAGGATTGATTTTGAATTCTTCATAAATGTGGTCGCCTTGACTTGAAAGAAAATTCCAATGACATTACTCCCCGATATTCCAATTCCGAACACATCATGATCCCCGGATATCAAGTCTTCCTTGGTGACCCCGAAATTCTTAATGAATTCGTTCTTCTGTTTGCTATTGATGCCCTTCAGCAATGTGTCCGTGAAAGCATAATCTGCGATTGTTAGGGAAGGTATATCCTTTAGAGCATCTTTCAGTTTATTGAACACCATGGCAACGGACAGGTGGTTCAATGGAAACTCCGCTTCTTTGCCTTTATGAGCCTTTCTCTTCAACTCATTGAAATCTTTGTTCTTTAGAATGAACCCTTCAGGCAGGGAATAGCCTTTAGAGTAGGCTTCGGGGTAATGCTGTCCCACATATTCTTCTGCGGCCTGATTCCATTGTCTTATATCATTCGCTCCCATGTAAATTTTCAGGTAACTACGAATATCCAAATCTCCTCTCCTTTCGTAACTTTGGAGTCGTCCCATGTAGGAGAATTCCTTGCATTTCTTGCATCCTCCATCCTCCATCCTCCATACAGAAAGAAAATGTGAGCAATTCGTCAGAAATAGTATGCTTTCGTCACTAAGAAGAAATGAATCATCACCAGACTAATATATGGTCACTCAATTGATTTACTCCTGAGAGCACCTGCCACCTCTAGGTGGCAGGTGGTATATCTACTAGGTGCTCTAAGGCATCAAGCACCATTATTTTTCACTACCCACTGGTAAATTCCTAGGTTTCTCAACCGATAGCTAATTCGTTTTATCATTTGTAGATGTGCAAACCCATATTATATATTTTTCTGATCTGACCTTTGACTTGACCTAGTTACCTTTATATATTAATTCTGACCCTAATTCCTGGGTGATATATCAGTCGAAAGCCTTCATCTCCTCTGTTATCATTCGCTCTCATATTGTAAACATATTGATAGTTAATCCTGCTGTGGTCGGCCTGAGTTAAGAGTGCACTGGTGCCATCTCTGTACGATCTAGATAACTGCTTCGAGACAAACATACGACACCAATTTTCAGCACTTGACTTCTCATTGAAACTCATATTTATTCTCAGTTTTACTGTGAAGTGTTCGTCGTTCCCATCACCCGCTATGAGCTCTAAGCAATATTAGCTCGAGTTCAGGCTCAAGAAAAGGAGATAATGCCCAAACGTTGAAAATACAACGCTGGCACAATAGGACATGTAATTGCATTTTTCAACGTTGAACTGGTTTTCATTCATTGCGGCAACGTTGAATCCGCCTTTTATGCAACATCGCTGCAACATTGCAACGTTGAAAAGTCAGTCCACGTTCTACGTTGACCCAACGTTATTGTGCCGATTGGGTGTTTCAATAAAAGAATATTGCCACATAGGCTATCGTTGCGACTGAACTAAAATGTATGTTGTGCATGCTCATGTCTGCCTGAATGCATCTTAGTTCTGTCCCTCTGGGCCCTAACGAACATGCAGGGTATACGTATGTTCTACCCTAAATTTACAGGGTTTTTTATACCCCCGAGGAAAATAATCCCCTTATCATGTCGCAGAAAACGTCGACGGAGAAAAAGCTGGATAATGGTCTCGCGGCGATGATCGTAAGAGAAGGCGAATATTGCGTGGGAATGATACTGATGTCGATCCCTCTCAAGTGCCGAGTACCGAGGCCGAACGTTCCCGCGTATGAAGGACGAATGTGACACAAATACAATTAGTAACAAAAAGACATTGTGCATTGGCAGGGTCTTGTCGACATTTCTCAATTGCATTCAACAGTGATTCTTGTTAATCGAGGAACTCATTTACTCCAGTTTCTCAAAGTCGTGTGCCAATATCTAAGCACCCGTGTGTACACGGGCTTTCGACTTCTATCAGATAACCACAAAAGTTTTTGCCGTTTATGTGTCATATTATATGATCGTTATTAAGTTAAAATATAGTAATGGTAGTAGGCGTAACTGCCTTCTTAAAACAACCCATAGCTTAAACATTTGTTATATATCTTATTTGCGTGTTAATATCATCATCATCAGTAAAGCCAATAAAATATTTAAATGGAGTCGTCGTCGAAGCTCATCAGATGTTGTTTACTCTATGAGTTTAAACTTGGTAACACTGCTGCAGAAGCCACTAGAAGAATATGTTTAGCATTTGGAGAGGATGCTGTAAAGGAAAGCACAGCAAGAAATTGGTTCCAAAAATTCAGAATCGGGGATGAATCGCTTGAAGATGAACCACGTAGCGGCCGTCCTGTGACGATCGACAATGAAGCCTTGAGATCTGCCATTGAAGAGGATAGCAGTCGAACATGCCAAGAACTTGCCTTGATGTTCAATGTTAATGATGAAACCATCAGAAGGCATCTACACAAAATTGGCAAGACATACAAGTTGAGCAAATGGGTCCAACACAAATTGTCTGATGCCAATAAACAACAACGTGTGTCAGCTTGCTTTGCCTTGCTCTCCCGCCACAATAAATAGCCATTTCTTGATTACTTGCTGACATGTGATGAAAAGTGGGTCCAATATAAGAATCCTACAAGGAAACGACAGTGGCTGTCCACCACGGACCTTGCTCCACAAACTTCAAGGCCACCACTTCATCAACGTGAGTTGCTCCTTTGTGTATGGTGGACAGCTCGTGGAATTGTCCATTTTGAGTTGCTGCAGCGTGGCCAAACCATCACCGGTGAACTCTATTCACAACAGCTTGAACATGTTCATCAGGCATTGCAAGAGAAAGAAGCGGCACTTGTTAATCGAAAAGGAGTACTGTTCCTTCAAGATAACGCCCGTCCACATACTGCTAAAGTTACCAGAGACACAATCAAGCGTCTTGACTTTGTGTCATCCACCATATTCGCCTGATATCTCTCCCTCTGATTATCATTGGTTCCTGGCCCTTGACAATCATCTGCGTGGACAGGAGCTTAAAAACGACATGGAGGTGCAGGACGCTATAAAGGCTTTCTTCTCTTCCAAAAACAGGGACTTCTATAAGAAGGGTATTTATAAGCTTGTTTCAAGATGGGAAAAGGTGATTGAATCAAATGAAAACTATTTCGCTGAATAAAATTGGTTTTTAATACGAATTTTTGATCTTTTTTTAAAACGAATATTAAAAACGGCAAAAACTTTTGTGGTTACCTGAATATTTCATGAAGAAATATATTGATTACCTCTGACTTCAGGCTGGAGTTGGACTTTCAACTCTGAGGCTATTCCTCTAACTTCAAATAGAAAGAGTAACCCTCCAATTTCCAAATTGGCTGTTTGGCTTAAATAGTGCACAACACAGAAATGCAAAAGCAAGATGGGGCACCCATCTTGACGCGCCCCTAGCTGTATTGTTCAAATTTGACCAAAAATGCTTTTTTATAGGGCAATAAAGTGCTTCACTCTCTTCTCTCAAATAGCGAAAATGAAGCGGATATGCACTAGGGGCTGGCCCCAGTATGCGTGACAGTAGGCTACAAGCAGTTCGCCAGAAAGATAATAAAGAGAAGTCCCAAGTTTCAGTTTAACGTTGAGGCTATCAAGGCCTTATTTAGTCACATCCACAAATTTATCTGTCGTATTACAGACCATCCATAATTTAGCATATCTACAAAATGACAATAACTTCTCTGAATATCGCATGTGCCTCTCTGGATTGTTTTACAGCGAAAAGCATGCATACATGAAATTAAGGTTGTATATCAAATTCCGTTTTCTCTCAAAATACACATCTGGCGATTATGTTGAAAGTATTTAGTTCCTTCCTATTAATTAGACTTCGACAGAAGGAAGATGCCTTACTTGATCTGGGCCCATGATCTTGCAGAAATCTGGGCTGAGGAGTCTTTCACAAGGAAAAATTTACAAATATAAATGGAACGTATCACTCCACAATCTTGATATTACTCCATATGGTAAATATATTTGGTCCTCTTATAGTCCGTTCTATACTAACCATATCTCCTCCAAAACATATTGAGAAGAACAACCCTTCAGTCATTCATCATTGGAGACCACCAAGGATACAAGACAACTAACGCGCAGAGTGAGTGCACACGCAGAATGCGTTAGGAGGTACTGCCTCAAAAGTGGCAGCTCGGTGTTGGCTAGTCTCCACCTTTCCTCGGCCTTCTTATCAGTAATAAACTTGGAGGTATCTCGTAGCTCTCGTAGCTAGATAGGACATGATGGAATGCAGAGCAATGAGGTACCTAACTTCAATAAAATGCGGACATTTGCGCGTGCTGCAAAAAGTTCCATTCCACCGCCCCATACAGTACTGTATATTACTATTCCATATACGTTTATCCACACCTGATAAATTATGCCTGCTAGACTATTGCACGGATTAAACTCCAAAACCAAGGAGCTTATGGCCCTAGATTAAGGTTTGGTCAGCATATTCCGTAACCTTCCCCAGGTTCAGGTTCTCTTTTAGACTTCACTTGACGACATATCCAGTGAGAGAGCTATGGGGAAATAGGAAACATTTGTTTTCCAACTACGACAGTTGGGAAAACAGTGTGAGTCAGAAGTCCTCCAAGCCTATTCATAAGTGTTATTAATATAGAGGAAATTGGGAGCGTAGGTCAATTCGGATAATATGACCTCTCACATTATTTCCGCAAAGTGCTAGGATAAATAGTCCATGAACATTTTGAAAATTGGACTACGGAAGTTTATATTTCAGAGCCGAAATTAGAAGGAACAGGAAATCAAGGGCGTTTCACACGATGCATGTCATGCCGCGTTTGCGTCAATTTTTGCGCAGATAGGCAGATGCACGTGTTCACACTGATGTCCATTTATATCCAAGGTTGTCACAAAAGGCAAGGCTTGTATTTTCAACTGAACACATCCCAATTCCACTAGCGATCCTTGCTCTTTGTGAAATATTCTTAGATGTAGGTGAGTATGCATGTGCACACATGCGTCTATCTGCCCATGTATTGACATGAGTGACGCAAGACATACTGTACAAAGTACGAAACGCTCTTAATATCCTGTTCGCAGAGCGCAAAGGAAGCCGCGATAAATCACTATTTTAAAACTTAGTTGCATGCAATTGCTTAACTTGACACTGTACAATTAGAAACATGGAACAACTTTAACGCATGTTTCCTAATAACATCACGGATGCGGGAAACATTTGTTCCAAGGTATTTTGCGGATTCTCCAGAATACTTTCGGAAAGTGTTATTCCTTTCAGTTGCAGTTTGCAGGCGGTGCTGTCAACTTTGTCATAGAAGCCAACATGGGGGAATATGGCCACCAGAATTATGGGTAATATGATTTAATGGGAGCACTTCACTGACCAATATGCAGCGTTATACCCTCTTAAGAGCCAGACAACAAGGGATCTAAATGTTCCCATCCGTTGGATATCTGCTACGGACCTCCGGTGATCCAGCGGACATGCG